ATAACTGGAAGATAAAGAAAGTCATAAAATGTGAGATAGTGCCCTGTATATAGTCAGCATATTCGATGTTCTAAATTTCAGTAATATACCTAGAAAAACAAAGGAGAAAGAGGGGTAGACCATGAGTATGTGTCACCTGGTAATCCCGGTATAGATATCGCCTTAACTCGTGAAGATATTCCCTGTATAATAATCATTTCAACAATGTCCAGGCTAACGCTGATTCTAAAATTTTAATCATTGTTAGATGTAGCTATAGTTTTGCTCAATATTACATGTACGTACATATTTTGATGTGAAATGAGATTAATTTTCAATAAAATCGAGTAGCCTTGTGAAACGTTTGAGTTATCTATTTGACCAGAGATTCGACACCTATCAGTCCTCTCATTGAATTCCTTCATCAATCTACATGTGATTTCACTAGAGAATCAAAACTAAATGTGTATGTGGCATTTTTGAGAAGCACAATATAATTTTCTCAGGGCCGCTATTATATCAGTATAATAATCGAAAAGAACCTCACATTTAGAAATGGTCGATGGTTTACCAAACCTCACATTTTGATTATAATGTAACCTCAATGTGAGTCTAATTTAAACGTGAAATCTAGAGTCACATTCAGCTAACTTTGAGTCCCATTCGGCATCTAAATGTGAATCATAAAATGACCAAAAGGGTCCGGAATAGCAGTCATTGTGATTTCAGTAGGACTCTCAATTCGAGTCACGGATGTGATGTGTGGCATGAATGTGATGCCCTCTAATATCTCTGGGATCAATCTGTGTTAACTGGGTACTAGTTTGCTCATTCAACTGATATTGTAGCTCCAATAATAGGAAAGTTGGCAATAGGTTTGAAAACCCTGTATAGACATAATAATATCAATTATTTATCTTCAAATATTCTACACTATATGTCCAAAATAGGGACGTCTATCATGGGGATCATTCTATTTTTTTCCTGACTAATTGAAGAAATATACTGGGTGATTCAAAATTCGATGTAGATATAGTCCCTAGGTGTATAATGTACTATTATGCACATGAACTATTTTTACAATTTCAGTTTTTTTTTCAAAATACCCACGGAGATACAGGGTGGTAAATTAGTTCCTGGTCACCTAGAATAATTACAATAAAACTATGTCACATTTGTGATTTTTTCTTTTACAAATTTCATCCACGTGGAAACACCTTTCCCCAGAAATAATTTTATGACATGTATCACTTCTTATCAATTACCTGACAAGAATGTTGTTTTCCTCGAGTTTTGTCATCGAATGAAATATTTGAATCGATTTTTTAATGCCGCTGGCAGATTTAACAACTACCCCGCAAAGTTAACCAATAATAAGAAAAAGTTGCCATTTAATACAGATTCCGAAATGTTATAACATATGGAGTTATTCAAAACAGCCTTTTTGTTATTAATTTTTTTCAGGTGGGTCGCATTTTTCAAAAAATTTAATAACTTTTGAACCATCAACAACATATACCGTTCATTTATGAAATGAAATTATGGGACACCCTGTATAAGGAGTGGTGTGATATTGAATATCTAGTATTTATAACTTGGGCAGTTTCTGTCAGCAGTGCAACACACGGTAATCAGGAGACTCCATATTTTTCAGATTACAAATTATTTCACATCCTTATTTAAGGTCAAATAAATATTTATGAATATTGATTTTGATCATCTTATGATGTCATTAAACTTATTGGTCAATAAACTTTTGCAATTTCCATGTGTATGGAGATAAAACAATTGCGTTTTCCTTGGTGTTTTTCAATAATTTAACCACTATATCATTGACGATTTGAATTTGTCAAACTGAGTAGCCATATTTTAAAAAAGTTGAATTGAAAAAAGTTCATGCAGCCAACTATTTCAAAAATTCATTATCTTTACAGGGTGATAGTCATAACTATTGGGACATAGGGAAAAGGCTGATTGTTTGGACCAAAATATAGTGATAGGACCAAATATGCCTGAATAAAATATTGCTGTGGAAAAGGATACAGGGCGTTTCAATCGAAAAAGTATTGACTATAAACTCGCACCAAAATTCATTCACTGACAAGAAATGTAATTCACCGGCAACAATAATCTGACAGTCCAAAGCACACTTTTCATAAATGAAATAATATTTGAGACTTTGAACTGATGAAAAACTGATGAAAATATTGTTTTTGAACAAGAATATCAATATTACGTAAAAATGATGTTTATGTTATATTTTCTGATTGAAATAACTAAAAAGTTTCGTCAAAAAGATTTATTAGTCGATTTCATCTTCAGGAATCATTCATGAGGTGCCCCCTGTAATAAATTGTAGAATGAATAATACCTAAAATTATATTACCTGTATAAAATTATGCCTCTGTGCTGATTTTGATAACAATAATTGATAGTGACAGTGAAATGATTAGCAAAAAACGAAAAAAAACTCAATTCTAACGCCCTGTATCTTTTTCTACAGCAATATCATTAAGGCATACTTATTCGGTTTTATTGCCATTTTTTGGTCAAACAATTCGCCCTTAGCCTATATCCCAATAGTTATGACTCACCCTGTATGGGTGATGCAAAATTCGCTGCGAATATTTTAAGGTGATAATCTCCGACCCCCCAAAAATAGTTTTTCAAACTACTATTTTTTATTACAAAGTTCTTTCGCCATCTTGAATTTTCCAATGTTGAAGAATAAAATCATATAAGACCCCGAAAACCCCCAGATAACAATTTTGAATAGAATCGGATCATAATTACGAAACTCGTCCGCCATATTGGATCCGCCATCGTGAGTTTCCAAATTTTGACGGAAGAATTATAATCTCCGACCCTAAAAACCTTCAAATACAAATTTTGAATGGAATCTAATCATAATCAAAAAAACTCGTCCGCTATATCAGAGCCGTCATCTTGAATTTCCAAATTTTGATAAAAGAATCATAATTTCCGACTCCGAAAACCCTCAGATACCAATTTTGAATAGAATCGGACCATAATTCAAAAAACTCGTCTGCCATATTGGATCCACCATCTTGAATTTTCGATTTAAAAAATAGATTACGACCGATTCTCATATCTACCGAATACGGACAAAAATTTTCATACGAATCGGTCGAGCCGAGACAGGAGAATTTTAATATTAGAAATACAGATTTCGATCAATATATCAGTCATCATGATTTGCTGATTAGTCTTGAACAAAGCATTATTGAGACATTAATAGTGCTCATGGCCAGGAAGAGAGCTCAATAATATTGTTCATCCGTAATATTTTTTGTATTTGTGCCAGTTTCAAGTTTCCAAAACTGATATCTCTTCTTGCTTGTGATTTTTACATTTGTTCATCTTACCAGGAAAATTACTTCAATGTGTTTAAAAATGTCCCTATTTGAGGGGCTTAAAGAAAAATTCAATCGATTGTTGTCAGTGACACCTTGTTTTAAAAAATGTTCGAAGAAGAGGAATATGGATAGGTATATCGAGAATATATTAAATTTTTACTTTGCTCTTGACGTACATAAAAAATGGAAAATATTCTTGTTCTCGAATTTGATGAAGATGGTAAATTCAAGATAAATGAAATGAATGAAAACATCCTGCAACACATTTGTTTGCATCAACATCTGTCACTTAGTAGTGTCGATATTGAAATGAGTAGTCGAATCGGGGGGAATTCATTTTTGTGAAGTATACAGGGTGTCCCACTTACCATGCTCACCATGGGTATCTTTTTAACGGTGAGAGATACGAGGTCGGTTAAATGACACCAAATGTGGAGTTTGTCAAGGCCAACTATAATGTGAAAAAATATTTTGATGAAATCTATTCGTTTTTGTTTTATACGCAAAAAACAGGTTCTGATCATTTTCATATCTCCTTCGTAACTTCTTTGTCTATGAAAATATTCAAATAGGAGTTTCACATTCTCATGGCAGTTGAAATTTATACCAACTCTTCTAGAATTTGAGATATCAGCACCAACTTTAGTTTTTCAAATGTAGGTCATAGCTCACTATGACTTAGTTACAATTCTACAAATAACTTTTTTTTCTGTTGCCGATGATATGTCGCAGTTATAGTTTTGTGTTGATAACAACGGAGTTATCGTCATTTATACAAAAAAAAATTATTTGGAAGCCGCCATCTTGAATTTATGAATTTTAACAAAAAAATCATGATCTCCGACATCAAAAACCCCCACTTACCAATTTTGAATGGAATCGGACCAAACCTTGTCCGCCATAAATTTTAAAAAATGGCTGCTTCAAGATGGCGGACAAGATTTGGTCCGATTCCATTCAAAATTGGAAAGTGGGGGTTTTTGAGGTCGGAGATCACGATTTTTTTGTTAAAATTCATAAATTGAAGATAGCGGCTTCCAAATAATTTTTTGTTTTTGTATAAATGACGATAATTCCGTTGTTATCAACACAAAACTATTACTGCGACATATCATCGGTAAGAGAAAAAAAAGTTATTTGTAACTAAGTCATAGTGAGCTATGACCTAAATTTGAAAAACTGAAGTTGGTGCTGATATCTCAAATTCTAGAAGAGTTGGTATGAATTTAATATTGTTTTCGAAATCACTTTGAGAAACTGTCTTAAGAATGTGAAATTCCTATTTGAATATTTTCATATAAATAAAGAAGTTACGGAGGAGATATGAAAATAATCAAAACCTGTTTTTGGCGTATAAAACAAAAACGAATAGATTTCATCAAAATATTGTTTCACATTATAGTTGGCCTTGACAAACTCCACATTTGGTGTCATTTAACCGACCTTGTATCTCTCACCGTTGAAAAGATACCCATGGTGAGCATGGTGAGCATGGTGAGTGGGACACACTGTATAGGGGGCAAAATAATATATTGTGCCCCGGGTGCGAGCCCTGACATAGCTCTCTCATTATTTTTTCAATCCTTCTGTTACACAAATTTGCATAACTAACTGCATTTTATTCAAGTTAACTTTTTTTTTCAGTTATGGTACACTGTTCACACAGAGGCAGCGAAATTCTTGTTGGTGATAAATCACATATCTTCCGATTGGAGCAGGGTAAGATTGCTACTTTTCTTGAGTTAATTATATATAGCAGCCATTCTATTTTACATAATTTTGCATCATGATTATCGGTCTCAGCTGATTATGCGCACTTATATATTGCGAATATATTTTTTTTCCATTTTCCTTTATTATAGGATATGAAACATGAATTTGTATATTGGAAATATGATTAAAAAGTATTTATTTTTGCATCAGTTTATTATAATTGACCACATTCACTTGACATAGTTCCCATCATTGATTGATGGAAATTCTTATATACTTTTAATGGGTTTTAAATGGAGGGGATACAATTCTTCAAATAGGTGTACCACCTTGGAATTTCAAATATTAAGCATAATTTATATGATCTTCAGTACTTCAGTATATTCAATTTTTATTGCTTCTAGTAGGGACCTTGAGTTCTAGTTTCAAGTATTTTAAGTAGTTTTTTCGACTCACATAACTATATAAGGCTATAATTCGCATTGTCTGCAAAATATGGAGAAAAAATCTAGTGAGCTGTAATATAAAATCAAAAATAATGCAGTGCTGTAATTTGGTACACGTTTTCATAGGAATCAGCAGCAGTTGATCAGCTGGTAAAATTTGTTAGTTGTCCGGTTGTCACTTCTGTACTTCCTCGTTTATCTGAACTAGATAAACTCAGTTCCAAAAAAAGTGACGCACTTGATATTTGACCCATCTTCTTAAAAAAAAAATAGTAGGCCTATTTTTTTTATTTGTTGGTAGATAATGCATTTGTCTTTAAGAAAAAATAAAGAGGTGAACATTTTTTCAAAGCCTCTTTGATGGTGGTGGAATAACTCGAACCATGATTTATTCTTAATTTTTGACTCACCCTGTGTGTTAATTGAGTAATGACATAGAAAGTGCTCGCACCCTATACGAAAGAGGCTTCTTTTGCGAGCATTTTGTTTTTTTATTCATCGATTTATCTCTAAAATTTTCCGAATTACAGCTTTTTTTGCTGAATCCTTGCAGATTACCAACTTTCTGAATTTATCGAGAAACAATTTTCTAATGAAATAAACTGATACCAATAATTTTGAAAAACATTTTTATTAAACACAAAATTATAAATTGGGATGACTGCTTAGCATACTGGAAATCAAGTTGCTTATCGTTTCCATTGGTATACGATCCCATTCTTCCACTAATGAATCTGCCATTTCTGCGAGACTTTCCGGAGACCTCTCGCGAGAACGTACCCTTCTCCCTAATTCATCCCACAAATGTTCTATAGGATTCATATCGGGGCTTCTCGCAGGCCATTGTAATGTGGTAATACCAGTAGCTTCTAAGAAGTTTCGCACTATTGCTGCGGTGTGTGGTCGGGCATTATCCTGCATCAATATAAAATTATTGCACACTAACTCTGCATTAGGTAAGACATACTGCTATAAAATGTCAATGTAAATGTGGGCATTCATCGACTGCCTCACCGGAAATGAAGGGGTGTATTTCCATTCATTGAAATCCCTCCCCACACCATAACGGACCCACCATTGAAACTTTCGCATTCTGTTATTAAATTTTAATTAAACCGTTCATCAGTTCTTCTCCACACTCTTTTTCTTCCATCCACCATATTAAGGCAAAACCTTGACTCATCCGTAAACAAGACCTTCGACCATTCAGGAATATTCCACTGTCCGTAATTTTCAACAAAATTGCTTCTAGCAGCACGATGTTCGGGCAATAATTTGGTCTCCTAACTTTTAAATTAACTTCTTTTAGATGTCTACATACCGTCTGCTTACTTACTGCAACATCACGAATTTGGTGAATATCTTGCTGCACATTCACCGCAGTATTAATTTGATCGGGGTTGTGGCAACTTTCCCTCCCATATTTTCTACGCTACTGATTCAATTCCATATATTTCCAATTCCTCGAATTCATTGTTCAATTTTGTTCAAAAAATGCACCTCCTTCAACTGAGCTGTTCGACCCAAAATAGAAGATTCCATAGAAATATTTCATCATTTTCAGTAGTAGAAAATTGCAAAAATATTTTTCTGGTGTTGAGTAGATTAGATACTATTCAGATCTCATCCTATAGCTGAACAGAAATAGTTATTCCACGCATTAAGAAAAAACAAATTTTTTTGTAATTTTCTACTACTGAGGAAGATGAAAAATTACTATACAAACTTCTATTTTGGGTCAAATATCTCGATAGCTGTTCATTTTAGCTCAGTTGAAGGTTATGCATTTGTTCAACATAATTGAACAATCAATTCGTGAAATTGGAAATAATCGAAATTTCATCAGTGGCGTAGAAAATATGAAAGGAAAAGTTATCACAACCCTCTGTAGCGCACCTCTGGGTAAAATAATCGGAATGTCTTTCTGGTCAAAAAATTAACCATTGAAAGATGAGACCATATACCGAATTTGAATGCATTTTATTCAATTTTGCTTGAGATATTGCGAAAGACCTATGTGAATTTCTTAACTTCAACGCCCTGTATCTCGAGAACTGAACACTGGAAGACTGTATGTCCCTATTTATAGTTTATAGTTTATTCAGAAAGAATTACAATAGGTTTATAAAATAATTGAATGACATTTTTACAATAATTAGAGCTACCTAAATAAGTTATTGCACCTAGATTACAAGCAATCTGTATGTGCAAAAATCTAAGAGGTTATGTTAGTTTCTTAACATATAAAGTATTGAAATAGATTATTATTATCAATAATATTATCCTACAACCTACATGTACTCAAATGAAGAAATGCTAAGGGAATGAGAATAAATACAAGAATAAAAGGAAGAAAAATCTTATGCACGAAATGCAGAGAATTACCTACATTAGTTTTAAAAATGTTTTATAGTTACTGTAGATGATTGGCTTATCTCAGTGATTATGAATCCACGAGGGCCATCACCTGTCAAGCGTTGTCGGTCGAATTTTGCAGCACCCTGTATACCTTTATTTCTCTTCTCCGAACCTTTTTCAATACAAATTGTCACTGAAAAGCTAGTGAATTTTTCTGTTAGGTAGGCTCTCTGATACGAAAATTCTTTAAATGTAGTGACATTTTGGGGCAAATCATCTGATTTGCCCCAAATCTGGAATAATGAATCGCCCTGTACTTACTTAAAGTCAATTTTCAGGTGGAGCCGCTCAAATAGCAGGTGTGCAGTGCCAGCCAATGAAAAATAAAGACGATGGTACTTTCAGCCTTGACGAATTGAGAGAGAAAATAAGAAAAAATCCGGATATTCACGAACCAATCAGTTCCTTAATTGTTATCGAAAATACTCATAACTTGTGCGGTGGAAAAGTAAGTTCCCTAACCAAAAACAAAATTGATTGGCATCCTAACATGTTCAGCATTTTCAAGTTTCATAATTACTGCATTTATAAATTCATTCCCTTTCGTGATTTTCTTAATACGAAAATAGTTATTTATATAACAAGTGTGTAACGTGGTACTTTTTTACGAGTAGGAAATAGTATATTGTACAACAAGACATGAATTCCATGGTATATCGACACTTGGTAGGCTTTGAAATTTAAATATCATTAGTAAACCGATATTATTCAAAATGTTTCGATATTCTGATCAATGTCTGCAGATTGTCAATAGCTTGTTTGAGTCAAGATGAAAACTTTCGAAAATAACTCATGATATTGAAGAATCTAAGATAGGAACATATTTTTTCGAATTCAGCTACTCGTACAGAAACTGTCTGTCTTTTATTTTCGCCATGTACCTATCACATGATCTTCCCATTTGGAATAATGAAACTAAAATTGTTCCTCTTATACGATGATCCACAGGGCTATCAGTCTATTTTTTCATAATTATTTCACTTAGTAGGCGGTGTACCTACACAAAATGTTTTATGTGTTTGACAGATAATCGATTGCATCGATAATTTTTCTTCGCAACTTCGTCGAACCTCATTTCGTTTGTGTAGTGTACAATTTTGTATACGGCCGGCACAGTTTTTATAGCATTCCAAAAAACCTACTGAATCACCTATGCTTATCAGCGGCGAGAATTGACAAGCCCCGGGGTTTATCGCGGGAGAGAGAAGGACATATAATGCCCTCTCACTCGCGAGAATGCATGCATGCAACGTTATAGTGGGCAGTACTTCATCATACTTCGTCTCGTAAGCAACTGGTTGGCTCAGTAGGCAGAGCATCGGCATGCCAAGCCGGCGGGCCGGGGTTCGAATCCGTGCGAGGCTCATCTTTTTTTTATTTTTTCCTTGTTCTCAAGTGATTTCTAAAAAATATTCTCTATGGGAAATAGGTTCATTTAGGGGTTTTCTATGTTTGTGGTTTAGGCCAGAGGTGAGGTTCGGTTAGGTTAGGTTAGGTTAGAATAGAATAGAATATTTTATTTGGTGTTAATAAACATTAAGTTTTACACAGGTCAACGAAACAAGTACAGATATACTCATAAAATAGATAGGTTAGGTTTTCTCATTTTTTATGCAGAAACAATATTTTCCTTCCTCAAGAAAAATTCTCCTTCTTCAAGAAAAAAGGTTCATCTGAGCGAGAGCGAGTTATACGTCCTTCTCTTTCCCGCGATGAACCCCGGGGCTGGTCAATTCTCGCTTATCAGCGTGCTTCTTCGTATCAATATGATTTTGTGCCGCGGTCGGTACACATCGAATTAAACGTTAAATCCTTTGTTCTCGTGACATCAGCTGAGAATGGCTTCCTCTTATTCAAGTTCAAGTTCGAGTGATAGGGAAGACTCGAGGGAGTTAAAAAAGCGTTGGAAGAAACAAAAGTTGGCTAAACTGAAGAAAGAATGGAAAAAAATGAAACGAAAATTCGAAACTTCATCATCGTCATCCGAAGAAAGTGAAAATGAAATAAACGGTAAGCAATTAAAATTTATTGACAGTCTCATATCATCATAAATTAGGCATTAACAGATGCCTAATATAGGGTGTTTAAATGTATTTGAAATTTATAAACAAGTGCATAGCTGAGCTTTAACAGAAGCTCTGGCAATATCACTTGGAAGTTTCGAACCATAAATGAGTCCCGCATTTACAGATGTGATGGACTACGAGAGTGTGGTACCTCGTCAAACAGGGCGAGAACATTCGGCCCCTCAACCTTCAGGGGAGCAACAAACCCCTCGAATAGCAAAAGAACAGCAAGTAGAACAGCCCAGGGATGAACAACACAGTCCAAACAATGATCAAATAATTATTCAAGCAGAAGTACACCCCCAACCTGAAATACAGCCTGAAGTTTTGAGAGCGTTAGGGGAAAAACCAAAAGGGGATAATCAGTCATCGAAGGCTGAAATACATAACGAAATCGCAGATAGATGGGAAAATTACATGCGGAAAGGACTAAGCACGGAAGACAAACAAAAACTCATTGATGCATATCCGCCCCCATCAAATTGCATGTCATTAAGACCTCCAAAATTAAATGCTGAAATGATAGCTGCCCTTAAAAGCAATGTAATAAAACAAGATACATTCTTAAGTCACGTGCAGCACTTACTAGCGACAAGCCTTAGTGCCCTCTCGGATCCCTTGAATAAAATAATTCAAAATCCTGATGCAGACATCAATAATAAGACAGAACTTTTAACTTCATTGATCGATTCTGCCAAGGCTATCACTGGGGCCTATCAGTCTCTATCATTGCATCGCAGATACCTCATAATGCCATCACTGAATGAAGCCCACCGTAAAACTGTCCAAGATTCTCCGATAGATGAACATCTATTCGGAAGTAACTTACAGGAAACATTGAAAACATCACAAGCTGTTAAAAGGGTGGGGCAGGAACTGAGCATGCCCGGTTTTAAAAAAGCCAGGCACACCACTAGTACCACTACAATAAACTATCAAGCCCCTAGCAATCCTAGCACGTCGTTCAAACAAAATTTTCGGAAACCAGCCTCGAATTACGGCAGCAAATACAAACCGAGCCACAAAACACTGGACACTCGCAAGAAAAAGAGAGGGGAGGAGAAACATTGGGCCAAGCGACGTTAGATAATCACAAGGTAAGCATCAAATACGCTGGTAGCTTGAGAAAACACGTTCAAGCTTGGATATATCATACAAATCAAGACCCTGTCATAACAAGATGGGTCAAAGGGTACAAATTACCTCTTAAACGAACACCATTTCAAAGAGTTGTACCCAAAGCAAATATCAATCCGTCCGATCTAAGCAAATTTAAGGTAGCCGTCAATAAATTACTAGAAATTGGTGCCATACAACGTTGTAATCATGAACAAGGCGAATACATTTCATCGTTTTTCCTACGGAAAAAGCAAAATGGAGAATACAGATTCATTTTGAATTTAAAAAAATTCAATAATTTTATCACAGCTCCCCATTTCAAAATCGAAGACCATAAGGTAGCTCAAAACATTATCTCTAGAAATGACTTCCTTGCTAAAATAGATCTCAAGGACGCATATTTCTTCATACCGATAGCTAAAACACACAGAAAGTATCTGAAGTTCAATTTTAATAATACACTATGGAAGTTTAAAGTTCTACCCTTTGGTCTCAGCGTTGCACCATATGTATTCACGAAAATTTTTCGACCTGTCCTTAAGAAACTTAGATCGGAAGGACTGAAATCGGTAGTATACTTAGATGACTGGTTAATAATAGGCAAAACACACGAAGAATGTAAAAAACACTTGAATCGGGCATGTTCGGTACTAAGTTCATTAGGATTCATTATAAATCCAACAAAAAGCATTTTGAATCCTCTTCAAATATGTGAATTCTTAGGATTCACATATAATACATTGAACATGACCATAAAACTCCCGAATGAAAAGAAAAGCAATTTGATGTTAAGTATACAAAAAATAAAAAATATGAAAACCTGTAAAATCATTAACTTTGCCAAACTCATAGGACAGTTAGTGGCTGCCGCCCCTGCGGTTAAATATGGATGGCTGTATATTAAACATTTTGAAAGGGAAAAACAAGCAGCCCTCATTAGAAATAATTTCAATTACGAATCTTCAATGTCCATCCCTCAACACTTGCATACAGACTTTTCTTGGTGGATACAAAACATACCATCATCATTCCAAACATTTGGCACCAAACAATATCAGATAGAAATTTATTCAGATGCCTCCAAAACAGGTTGGGGGGGATACGCAAATGGACAGAAAACACACGGCTATTGGACTGAAGAAGAGAGTAGTCTTCATATAAATATTCTAGAACTCAAAGCAGCTTGGTATTGCCTGAAGTGTTTTTCTCAAAGATTAACTGATATCAACATACTTTTGAAAATAGACAATATCACAGCCATCTCCTGCATTAACCGCATGGGCAGTGTCCGGTTTCCACTATTGAACAATGTAACTCGACTAATTTGGCAGCATTGCGAGGAAAATAAACTATACGCATTCGCCACCTATATTGAGTCCAAAAAGAACATAGTAGCTGACGAAGGGTCGCGCAATCGATCAATAGAAACGGAATACGAACTTTCTAGCACAGCATATTTAGAAATAGTTAGATCACTCGGAAAGCCAGAGATTGATATTTTTGCCAGCTACTCTAACGCCAAATGTAAAAAGTACATATCTTGGCGACCTGATCCATACTCGATTGCGATCGACGCATTCACGGTGAATTGGCATAGTTTATTTTTCTACGCTTTCCCACCATTTTCTGTAATTCCAAAAGTATTACGTAAAATAATTGAAGACAAAGGCACTGGAATTTTAGTAGTTCCCTTATGGCCGAGCCAGTCCTGGTATCCCCTATTTGAGAAAATGTTGGTGGGAAAGTTGGTAACACTTAAACCACATCAAAAACTAACTTTATCTCCTTTTAGAGAACCACATCCACTGTGGACATCACTTACCCTGGTGGCAGGAAGGTTATCGGGGACGCATTTCGAATAAAAAAGAACTTACCGGACTCAGCCATTCCTACCATAATTGCATCAATTTCAGACAGCACTCTCAAACAATACGAGGCCTGCTACAAGAAATGGTGGGAATACTGTGCAGGAAAAAAAGTAGGAGTATATAGTAGTAACGGGTTTTATACCATAGACTTCCTTAAAACACAAGTAGACTCTGGTGCATCCTATTCGGTAATAAATTCATATCGATCAGCACTCAACTTAATCTTAAATTCAAACCCTGAAGATGAGAAATTGATGAAAAGATTTATTAAGGGAGTCTACAACATAAATCCGCCAAAACCAAGATATGCAGTCACTTGGGACCCACAGCTTGTTTTAAATTATCTTGAAGAATTATACCCCCTCACATCCTTGAATTTAGAAAAGTTAACATGGAAACTAGCCACGTTAATTGCTTTGACGACAGCACAAAGGGTTCAAACCTTGTCAAAAATGTCTATAGAAAACATAATAGAAACCGAGGGAAAAATAGAAGTAAGGATTTCTCAAAAAATTAAAACTTCGGGCCCCAAGAGAATGCAACCAAATTTAGTATTTCCATACTTCAAATCGAAACCGCAACTGTGTGTAGCTTCAACTTTGAAGTATTATATTATGAAAACTTCATCAATTCGTGCAACAACAAAAAATCTGTTCATAACTCATAAAAGACCCTTCCGTCCAGCAAGCAGCCAAACTATAAGCAGATGGATCAAAACTGTCCTAAAAGAAAGTGGAATAGACACAAACATTTTTAAAAGCCACAGCGTTCGGCATGCAGCCACTTCAGCAGCCCTACAAAATGGTGTGAGCTTAAATTCAATTTACAAAACGGCTGGCTGGACAGAAGGATCGGACACATTCGCAAGATTTTACAACAGACCCTTAATGGCGAATCCAGGCGATTTTGCGAATAAAATACTTGCGGGTAATCAACAGGGAAAGTAGCTTTTGAGTATCAAAATAAAACACAAATTCGTATTAGGTACTTACACTATTACATTGTTATGAATTTTGTCAAATAATTACTCTAGAGAATATTATTGTTTTGTGTGTTGATTATTAAGTAAATAATAGATATATTGTATATACATACATATATATATACCTACATTATTATTATTATTATATTATACTATTTTTCAAGTCAGCAGCCCGTATCATTCCACCATTCTCTGCTAGGATATTGCACACCGTACATTGCAGTTTGCAGAACTTACCCACGATGTTTAGCTAGAGGCATCTTTGAACAGCTACACAAACGAAATGAGGTTCGACGAAGTTGCGAAGAAAAATTAACAGATCAAACGACTTACCTGTAGGAAGTTCGATCTTAATTTTTCGAGCAACTTCGTCGAACCTCATTAAAACCCTCCCATACGTGGACCTCTATACACTCCCACCCGTTGAGCTAAACATCGCTGGAAAATCCCAAAATCATATTGATACGAAGAAGCACGCTGATAAGCATAGGTGATTCAGTAGGTTTTTTGGAATGCTATAAAAACTGTGCCGGCCGTATACAAAATTGTACACTACACAAACGAAATGAGGTTCGACGAAGTTGCTCGAAAAATTAAGATCGAACTTCCTACAGGTAAGTCGTTTGATCTGTTAATTTTTCTTCTTCATTTGTGTGTTGATTGAAATTGCATATTGACAACATGTCGACGTTTTCGTTTCTTGAATACATTTAGGTTGGGTTACTAGATCTGGTAACATATCTTAGGTTGGGTTACTAGATCTGGTAACATATCTTAGGTTAGGTTACTAGATCTAGTAACATATCTTAGGTTAGGTTACTAGATCTGGTAACATATCTTAGGTTGGGTTACTAGATTTGGTAACATATCTTAGGTTGGGTTACTAGATCTGGTAACATATCTTAGGTTAGGTTACTAGATCTGGTAACATATCTTAGGTTGGGTTACTAGATCTGGTAACATATCTTAGGTTAGGTTACTAGATCTAGTAACATATCTTAGGTTAGGTTACTAGATCTGGTAACATATCTTAGGTTGGGTTACTAGATTTGGTAACATATCTTAGGTTGGGTTACTAGATCTGGTAACATATCTTAGGTTAGGTTACTAGATCTAGTAACATATCTTAGGTTAGGTTACTAGATCTGGTAACATATCTTAGGTTGGGTTACTAGATCTGGTAACATATCTTAGGTTGGGTTACTAGATCTGGTAACATATCTTAGGTTGGGTTACTAGATCTGGTAACATATCTTAGGTTGGGTTACTAGATCTGGTAACATATCTTAGGTTGGGTTACTAGATCTAGTAACATATCTTAGGTTAGGTTACTAGATCTGGTAACATATCTTAGGTTGGGTTACTAGATCTGGTAACATATCTTAGGTTGGGTTACTAGATCTGGTAACATATCTTAGGTTGGGTTACTAGATCTGGTAACATATCTTAGGTTGGGTTACTAGATCTGGTAACATATCTTAGGTTGGGTTACTAGATCTGGTAACATATCTTAGGTTAGGTTACTAGATCTGGTAACATATCTTAGGTTGGGTTACTAGATCTGGTAACATATCTTAGGTTGGGTTACTAGATCTGGTAACATATCTTAGGTTGGGTTACTAGATCTGGTAACATATCTTAGGTTGGGTTACTAGATCTGGTAACATATCTTAGGTTAGGTTACTAGATCTAGTAACATATCTTAGGTTAGGTTACTAGATCTGGTAACATATCTTAGGTTGTGTTACTAGAACTGGTAACATATCTTAGGTTGGGTTACTAGATCTGGTAACATATCTTAGGTTAGGTTACTAGATCTAGTAACATATCTTAAGTTAGGTTACTAGATCTGGTAACATATCGACTTTTTTGTTTCTTTTTCCGTCTGTATTGATAATATGCAATTTAAATCAACACACGAATGAAGAAGAAAAATTATTGATGCAATCGATTAAATGTCAAACACATAAAACATTTTGTGTAGGTACACCGCCTACTATGTGAAATAATTATGAAAAAATAGACTGATAGCCCTGTGGATCATCGTATAAGAGTAACAATTTTAGTTTTATTATTACAAATGGGAAGATCATGAGTTAGGTACATGGCGAAAATAAAAGACAGATAGTTTCTGTACGAGTTGCTGAATTCGAAAAAATATATTCCTATCTTAGATTCCTCAATATCTTGAGTTATTTTCGAAGGTTTTCACCTTGACTCAAACAAGCTATTGACAACCTGCAGACATTGATCAGAATATCAAAACACACGAGTGAGAAAAGTGCTTTTCCCCACATGTTGCACACTATACTTTTTTTACAACTGCACTTATCCGAGTAATGTAACTTATTGGTATTCATTTTATAATGTGGCACTATGCCACATTGAATATTGTGACCAAAGAGTAGACGCCTTTTCTAGTTCCTCAAAGTATTTCAAAAAAGTACACTTTCCGAAAAATTTGATTTTTCTTGAAGGTTTTACCATTAGACTGGATAGAAAAAGTGGGCAGCATCGGATCAGACAACAACATTGCTGTCCACATGGATGGCGCGAGATTATTCAACGCCGCCATTCATTTGAAAGTTATGCCCAAAAGGGTTGTCAGAGACGTGGACTCGGTATGTTTCTGCATCAGCAAAGGACTCGGATGTCCCGTCGGAGCCGTACTGGTCGGCAACACCGATTTCATCACCAGGTAAATGAAAAAAAAAAAGAAATATTGCTAAACTTTTTCGTCAGAAATTGTTCTTAAGACAACAACGTGAAAAATTTATATCCTTCTCATAAGAGTCATACTGAATCATCTCCCATAAATATAAAAAAGACAAATACCATCTATATTGAAAAGGAATATTCTCAGATAAAATTATGAACATAAATTTTTTTATATATACTGGGTGAGTCGGGAGGAACACACCAAACTCCGGGTGTGTATTGTACAGGTATAATTAATTTCAAAAAACCCATTTGTCCCTATACGATACTCATTTGTTTTCATTCTGAATAGAGCAGTTCAGCTACCGTTGAGAGAGAAAAAAAACGTCTTCCCATCTGTCCTTGTCTTCAGTGTTCCAATATGAAATAATGAAAATCTTATGTTGCCAACACTGGAAATGAGAAGAAATGGAGAAGAAGACCGTTCTAACCTTCTTTTACATCGAGGTTAATATGATATTCTTCTCCATTTTTTCCCATTTCCAATGATGCCAACATAATATTTTCATTATTTTATGTTGGAACACTGAAGACAAGGACAGATGGGGAAGACTTTTTTTTCTCTCTCAACGGTAGCTGAACTGCTCTATTTGAATAGATGTGTGGCAATTTATGAGACTTGAATCGTACAAACTCGGAAATAAACGCGTCAAACACACTGACACTGACACGAGCTGATGTCAGAATAAGAAAACATATTAAGCAATCAAGTTCGTACAATTAAAGACTTATAAAATGTCACAAATCTATTCGAATTCAAAATGAAAACAAATGAACATGAAACAGAACATATGGGTTTTTTCAAATTATTTTCACGTGTACAATTCACATCTGGAGTTTGATGCGTTCCTCCCGACTCACCCTGTATACAAAGAAATATGCATCGAGAATTCGCATTCTCTTTGTGATGAAAATATCAATTCTTTCTCGGTTTATTCAACAGAAAACAACTACTTTTCTGGTTATTTGCCACGTCCAACATTGAATTACATCTATTGAACACACACGATAAAAATTTGAAAACAAAATCTTCTGAAGTTGATCTGAATATTCAACAGAAAACAACTACTTTCTTGGCCATTTTCCACGTCGAACATTGAATTATATCTGTTGAACATCCAAAAGGAGAGCATAAAAAATGAAAATCTTCTGAAATTGAGAATTGACATTCTCTTTCAAATCGGATGGAATAATATGATGTATTATGATATAAAAATATAACTTACCAATATGTTTAGTATTGAAATGAAAATTGTATAGGAGAAGTATACTTGTATTAACTCTGATCTTGATGAACTTGGAACTTCCAAAAAATAATCATTAATATCAGTGATATGGAAATTATCTCTCTCACAAACAGATTATATGACTTCAATCAAATCAACTCATTTCGGATATCTAATCCTCCTCATTAATCTGAAGACCAGTTATTCTTTCAGCCATTCTTCATAATATACACAATGTTCATTGAGAGTTGCTGATTTTTATTGAGGGTTACTAATGAAAATTCTGTATATCATGAAAAATGGCTGAAAGAATAACTGGACAGGTTACTGAGGACGATTAGATATCCGAAATGAGTTGATTCAAATGAAGTCATATTATAACCTGTTTGTGAGAGATTCAATTCCCCAATCAATAATAGGAATATTTTTTTCTATTGATTTAGACTAAGGCTAAAATTGTGACAGCGTTGAGAAAATGAGCTTTTTTCAGACACACTTTTGAGTAATTCTTCAAAACAACAGAACAACAATTATGCTCTTTCAGAATACTTTCTTCAATTCTTCAAAACTAAAATGATTTAGAATGATTAATATACTGGTGGAAAAATATAATTTACACCATGGTGTATAAATACCTCTTATGATATTTGCACAGCTAGTACATTATCATAATTTTCATCGAACAGGGCAAGGCGAATAAGAAAAGTATTAGGAGGTGGATGGAGACAAGCTGGTGTTTTAGCTGCTGCCGGCTTGGTTGCTTTGAACACCATGATCAACAGGCTGCGGATAGATCATGAACATGCCTATAGGATCGCCAAAGGTAAGAAACTTTCAGGTATTCTAATGGCACAAATATTAAAAAGTCGTAAATCGACTTAAATCCATTTTGCAACCGACACAAAAGTCGTCCATTTTAATACCAAAATCAGCTCTTTAATTGACGGTTCTATTACTGACGCAAACATATAGGTATGTTGCTAGGCAACAATTTCAGTTCCTAGGAGCTAAAGTTGAACTTTAGCTCCTAGGAACTAAGAAGGATGTACTAGGTCATCAAGAATAAACAACATTGTTATGGTTGGCTATTTGGGTTGGGACGCATACCTGATTTGTTCCCGATTTCGTCAGATTTGGCATTTCATATTCATGGAGATATAAATACACCATACTATAGTTGAATATTTTTGTTTTGGTCAGGAAAGCCTTCCGGATTCACATACTTGCTTGATCTGTATTTCTTTACTATCATTCGTTATTCTCACAACTATAACGGCCAGCAATACTTTTTTGTCTCACACAAAGATGTTGTTAAAGTTTCTGGTGTTGAGTTAGCGGGAATTTGGTTGAAATGTTGAAGAAACGTTGACAATTTAACAATTGGTTTTCTTCAACATTCCGACCGAATTCCCGCTAACAACACCAGAAATCATATTCAACAGTCACCATTCTATTCAACGATACTGTTTACCTTCATTTGATTACATAGCCAAACACAGTGGAATATCGAGAGAAATGAATAATCGCACTAACCTAACTTTTTCCTATACTTGGCACTGACACGGTATTTGCTATCAGGGCTGACACTTGGTCCAAATTAATCAATCGATTCCATAGAATACACAAATGGATAACTCTGTGGTTGTATTTATATTGAAACTAAAATTCGAACATCCTTGAAAATTGAATAAACCTGATCTGTAAAATGCAGGTAGAATATTTCCACCACACGGATTATTTGTTGAATTGCACACATATGGCACGGCATCCATGTTTCGGGTATATTATTGAATTCGTGCCTGTATATCTGATGACATGATGTATGTCAACACAAATTGTAACAAAATAAAGTAGTCTGATGTCTTGCCTCTATCAAAAGTGACTTTCACAGGAAGGAAGGAATGCTCGAAGCTCCAGCTCGAGCATTCCTTCATTTCTGTGAAATATTTCACTCCACTTTGAGCAATATGGACTACCAAAGATTAAAAGTGACTTTGTTAGACTCGTAAATTTTACTTCCGCTCGGCTCCGCTAGACGCTAAAATCTAATTTTTTTGGTACAGACTGGTAGAGCGAGTTCTTAGTTTCTTGAATTAGACTGGTTTGTGCCATTGAATATGAACATATCAATAATAATTTAATAGTTCAAGGTTGATAAGGTGATATTTGGGTATGGGGGTTCTAAAACATCGCTTTAGTAACATGTATCATCCACTATTTATTTTTTCCTAAGTCATGGACTGAACTAGCTGAAACTAAGTTGAAGATCGTCAGATTCAAAAGTCCAGAGCTGGTCTAATCATTATAATTATCCTATACTCAATGAATTGGTTCAAGGTGCTAATCCAAATTTTGGTTATTGCTTTTGAGTGCATGAATACCGTCTGTGATTAAGTGGATAATTACTCAGGAATTCATCTGGGCATTGCATATTGACACTGGAGTTGATATTAGTAAGTATAGCTTATTAACCTCTAAATTATGTTTTTCCAGATAATGCTTAACCTAACCCTGCAAAGTTTAGAATCTGATCGACATTAACTGTTTAAAATTGAATAAAGTTGTTTCTAAATACACTGCCTAGCAAAGAAAACGACCAATGAAAATTGGCACTGTATTTCACAATTATTGTATGTTTCTTGATTCTTTCATCTGATTTAGATGATTTTGTTCAACTTTATGTTGATTGATCAGTAACAATGATGTAGGTAGTAGACATTTTGAGTCTGATTTTAATTAGAGCATATTAAATGGTGCAAGAATAAGCACGTTTTTTCAGTGTTTTTTTTGCTAGGACAGTTTATTCAAGTGACCATTGTCACCTAACTAAATTATGAACAATGCATGAAAATGATTCAGCTTTTTAAACAAACAACTAACTATTAAATATAATGTTTCATGGGTTACAAAATGCATCTCACCCTATTCAAAACCAATTTTGTGATGTTACTAACTGTTTTGCTCTAAAAACTAGCTATAGCTTTCGAGAAATGTCTTTCAGTTGATTAATGTTGTATCTATATGGTCTTCTCTGAGAAAAATTGAGAAAATGAGGGAAAATTGAAATCATCAGGAATATTACTTGTGAAGTATTGAAAGAAAAACGGGGACACAGTGAATACAGAAAATAAAAAACTGGGCACATAAAAAACAAAAAATATAGTGAAATACAAACATTCAATTTATTGCTCTGAAGAACGAGTTGGTATCGTTTCATTTCTGTTAATATAAATCTCCCTCATTTTTTCAAATTGCCTTATTTTCTTTCTTTTATTTATCACTAGTTTACCCGGCAAACGTCGTTTTTCCATAAACATTATCACTAGAAAAACATTTTTTAGTTGAATATTAATCAAACAACTTTTATTCAAATCAGTCAAAATGCTATTTTCTAGGGGTAAATCTTCTAGTAGAATCAGTGGCGGCTCGTGACTTTCATGACAGAGGAGGCTGAATTATATGAGATTTATTGTGAAAAACAACTCTACTCACCCAAATCAATAGCTTTAATGACATTCTGTTTACCAGTTAACCTGAACTTAATACTCGAAGAGATGTGTTCCTGTGATATGCAGTGTCTATCCAATCCGCGAGGCAAATTTTTCAAATCATTATATCCTATTCGCCCCCAACAGGATGACTTATCGGTTGAAAATAATACGCAGTACCAACAAAATAGCTTATTCCTTACCTCAGATCCCGTCAACCAGATATATTTTTTATAATTATCAGAATTGAACGAACGATTTTGTTTGGTACCTGTTACAATCAGATTTTTTAATTCCGGTGTCGGACGTTTGTTTTTCACAATCAATTTATCTTCATAAGACAAAGCACCAAAAAGTATTCCACTAAATCGCAATCGTTTCAAACACTCATTTTTCAGAAATTTATAGAGCCCCTAACCATTAACCCAACATAAACATAAACAATGCCTGCACGTGCTATTCGGGCATTTGCATTGCGCGAGTGGGTTTCGAATTGTGAAGGAGTCCAGCCTCCTATAGATGTTGCCAAGTTGAATATTTTACGCGTGATTTGCAGACTTCAACGTGTGATGCGTGGGCAAGCACTGTTGCCAATTCGAAAATATTTACCTAAAAACAGGAAATAAAATCAAAATCCTTGTATTTTGGTGTCCTTTTAATGAGAAAGTATAGATAATATCAGTTTGAGGAAAATCTCTGAGGAGGCTCAGCCTCCGATGCCTCCTCTGAGGAGCCGCCACTGAGTAGAATATTATCCGCAAGTTCAAGCAACTTCTTCCGCTGGACCATTGTGCTATTAGTTCCTGACGGTACTTTCGGGTCAGATGACAAAAACGATATATTTTCACAAAAATAATCGCGATTAGTATAATGTGATTGTTTTTGATACTACTATAAGTATGGAACGATTTTTATTGAAAATAAACGTATCAAAATTCGCAGGAAACACCACTCGGATACTCATAAATTATTTCATTGCATGGTAGTTATAAGTGTACTCTTGCGTACCATCAGGACTGAATCTGCTCCAAATGATATAATGTATTTCAAAACGATGACAGAAATGGAAGAAACTCAAAAGTACCGTCAGGCACTAAAGGGTCAGCAAATGAGCTAATTTTATCATAGCTGTTTCTGTATCTTGCTAGAATATTTATTATGTTCTGAAGTTGTGACCAGCTACTCAATTTCATATCACAGGGAAAAATCCATTTTGAATCATTGAATCCCAACTTATTATCATCTATTAAAAGTTGGACCTGCATCTCATTCAATACTACAACTTGTGAAGTTAATTTCAATACATCTGACTGTGAACCTAATTGATAAATATGTATTTTTCTTTCTGTCTTAAGGACTTTCCGATCCCAACAACTATCAATTTTCAATTTTTCTGCATATTCTCCAACTACCTGTTCGTAATTGAGAATAAAGTCGGATTTTTCAAAATCAACTATTCTTTATTTTGAACAGCTAAACATTTCTGACGTCTTTCATCAGGATTTGTTCTTATATATTGAAGTATAAGGCTTAGAAAGATAACTTGGTAAACTTGGAAAAATAGAAGGTACTGCTATTGTAACTAACTGTGGGTTTCTTAGCAAATTTTTCCATATTTCATCTGTTCCAACGAAATGAATTGCACACACTGTGGAATGTTGAGATGGGGACCAATTTTTACGAGATATCGAAGATATCCAGTTTTTCGCAGCTCTTCACTTTAGCAAATATAAAAATCGTAAGATTTTTTTCATTTTTTTTTTTTAATTGACTCGGCCGTTACTTGATGGAAATCTATGGCAAATGTGAAAATTTCACAAACGATAAGATTTCCACAAAATTTTTGTGGAAATCTTATTGTTTGTGAAGTTTTTATATATTTTTTTTCGATGCGTAATTTAACTCACACAGCAATTATTTGGCATCTCCTTATGAGAAAGGTTGGAATTACTTTGATTGCCGAAATGAGACAACAAAAAACATAATCTCAATTCAAAAACAATTTTTGATGAGACTTTTTCACACACACAAACTCCCTTTCACTTATAACTCGATCACTAGGATATTCCTTACAATTTTCACTGGCTTTCAACAATATTCCACATTGATAACACATCAATTCACTCTTGAAAACTAAAAACAATGATGTTACATCCAGAAGCCATATATCGTATTTCTACAAATGGCTGGAGGTAGACCTTTCGAACAATGTTGCCAGACTGGGCTCACCCGTTATCACCGATACAACAAGGCCTGCATGCTCCGTGGGTGACGTCACTTAGTGAGGCCCAACCAGCGGCTCGAAACGACAAGCGCTTATAGCGCTATAAGGCGA